TAATCGTCTAGCGAGAAGATCCTATAGGTATTCTAGATACTAGCTAGGTTATTATATATATTATCTCGTCTTAATAAGAGTAATAAGGTCTTTAATAAAAGGGCGGTCCTAGGTTTTACTCCTTAATACTTATCTTCGGGGTCTAGTTTTTCTAACTCACCTTAAAGGAAAAGGCCCCCCACGATTAGGAGATTACCTATTAGTAAAAGGGCTATACTCACGGATATTAATATTAAAAGCACTACACGCTAAGTCTCACGAAGAAGTATTATAACTTACTTATAAGGTCCGTAAAGGTCTTTACTAGACTATCGGGTCCTCTTATAAGGCATCGTTATTTCGCTCCTACGCTTAGTATTAGCTTTTTATTAGGTCTACTAGGGTTTAGTTACCTTAATCCGGGTAAGCTACTCTTAGCGGTCTTATCTTTGCTTCGCCGTTATACGAGAATCTATTTTAATTAGTGGTGGGGGTTATAAGCCCCCTATTAAGTCTATTCTATATCCGGAATCTAACTCTATCGCGATCTAATCGGTTTCTTCCATTTCTATAATTACTACCTCTATAGCGGCGGGTCTTATAATTAAAAGTATTAATAGTTCTTTAACTCTTACCTAAGCAGTTATTTCTTTTCCTAATCTTATTAGGGTAATTCTCCCCTTAGTCTTAAAGCGTTAAATTCTTCCTTAGTCGTTATCTTTATATTCTTCCTAGGGTTATTAACTAATAGTCTATTTAGGAGGGCCGGAACCTCCCTTAAGTGCCTCTATTACTCTAATTAGGGTTAGAATACTTTAGGGACGCCGAATAAATCCGCCTCCGAGCACTATATTATAACTAGATAAAGACGTAGTGGCACTAGATTATTAAGATAAAGATCAGATAAAGAGGTTAGTCCAGTAAAACCATGATACATAACCAAAATATAACTAATACCACTATCACCTTTAGCGAAGAAGTAGATCAGTAGTCTCTATTCTAATTAGGGTAACGTAAGTTAAACTGGAAAGATACCTTAAACGTAGAATAAGTAATTATAAAAGAAGATAATAATTAAATGATAATCCATTAGTAGGGACGGCCGGCGCCTGTCCTTAATATATATATAGGAGGTGGACCCCGTAGCCTTAAAAAGGGGATTACGTGACCACCTGCTAAACCACTCTAAAGCCGTATCTACGCGGTTATAGTAATGGCCTCTTTAAGAACGGATTGGTTAGACGATAATAATTCTATTCCGACGGTATCGTCGGTAGCCTCTCCTATAGCCTCCTCTAAGGTGGAGGAAGAACTAAAGGAGGAAGAACTGCTAGTATCTTTAGATTCCTCTTAATCGCTACGTTTAACTGCCGTAGCTGTAGGCGTCTAAGGATCGTTAGGAGGTGGCGAAAAGGGCGTATAAATAGGCCTTAAAGAAGAGGTTATTAAAGAGGGTAAAATTAGTGCTATTCTTAAAGAGGGTGGTAAAATAGTAGTTAAAGAGGAAGAACTAACGGCAGGAATAACGGCAGGCATAATGGTAGGAACTATGCCTACCGTAGCCGTGGTAGCCGTTCCACGTAATACCTCTTAGTTAGTAATCTATTAGTTTTTAGAGGCGTTTTCGGTGGTTTTTACATTAGTAGTGGTTTTTAATCCTTCACCACCACCGCCGGCCACCCCCCTAAATCTTAATAATTAAGGCTATTATTAACGCCTCCTTCCCTCTTATAAAGCCTTTATCGTGGAGTTCTGCTACGTTACTATAGGTATTCCGAAATCGACGATATCTATTATAACGCTAAAAGGGTCTTAAATGCCCTGGTCTAACAGCAAAGTAAGGTTATCGAAAAGCTGTATAGGTATAGGCATATTAGGCTCTTTCCCCCTGTTTTTATAAAGAACTGACTCGTTAAGATAACGTCCCTTGTGCGTAAGATCCTATCCCCTAATTAAGGAACTAAAATCAGAACAATATTAGTGCCCTTGTATCCGATTAAATAGCCGACGTGTGCCCTCGGCGCGAGCTTTTCATTCTTACGGCGACCTTGTAGGTAGTTAGTAGTTAACGCGTACGTCTTAGAACCGTATCTTCTTAGGTGGCTAATAGAGAGATTAGTAGTTCTAGCTATAAAGCTAACGATACCCTCTTTTTATAGTTACTCGTTTAACGCTCCCTTGGGCGTCTGCTAGCCTAGATCCCTGCGTGGAGTGCGGTTATACAGGTAAGTGACTGCTATAATAATCTCTGGCTATATATCCTATTAGAATCCTAAGGTATTTGCTAATACCCTCGCGATAGCGAAGATAATACCCCTATACCGTTCGGCGTTAGCGTTGTATATAGCTATATAAGGAGCTGATCTTTTTAGTAGGATACCACGATCTAAAGACTAGTTATCTAGCTTCTTCTATAACGCTCTCTCTCTGTCGAGTCTGATTATACTAATAAGCAGCCTGTACTGCCTTTATAAGAAGAGTTCGAAGTTAGCTATCGAGGATAGTATGTTTTTATGCCCTGGTATCGTTCTGGTTATGTTTTGATGCGTGTAGAGATCGTGGAATAGGGTAATAGTATTATCGCCGTTAGCAGTAGGATCTATAGAAAATAGGTCCACGTTAATCCTTTAAAAAGGCCTTATTAGCCTGTGGGTGGGTGGACGTCGCGATACTATCCTGTTTACCTTGCTAATAGCGTAAGCCTCGTAGTCTACTACTAAAGGTACCGCTCTTCCTTCTTTTAAAGCCACGATACCTCCCACGTAGCCTTTTAATAACTATGCCAGTGCTTAAGGGTTAGCGTGCCCTAGCCTTTTATGCTATAAACGGGCGTTAGCCACGCCTATAGGCTTTAGTTCCCTCGAGCTATTAAAATAGCTCTGCTATTACTGCTATAAGCGCTATAGCGTGCTATCGGTCGGTTTAAGGGCATATTAGCCGTTAACGTTAATTAACGGTAGGCAGGTATATCGGTCTATTACTAAGATATCTCTGCCGGTTATAAAAACAGCGTTCTAATCCTTCTATAACCTGCGCGTTACTAGCAGCATTATAGGGTATCTATCTATAAACGCCACGTTCTTTAGTATAAGAGTATAAGGATATCCTTTTATATCTTTAACCTAAAAATACAGGGTGCTATACCCCTTTACTGGATTAGAGGTGCCGCTACCTATCTAAAATCTAACGATAGTGGTAGCAGGCTGGAAGTCCTCGAGTAGGTGGCGTTAATTAGTTATATACCTTAGGGACCCTAAATCGATTAATAACTAATTAAAAAGGTCGTTGCTAACCACCTATGTAGTCTATAGGAGCGAGAAAACCGATAGCGAGGTTAATAATACTACCTCTTTTCCCACGAAATTAGAGGTAAAATATATATCGTAAGAGCTATTATTAGAATCCTCTTCCCTATTATTAACGAAATTAGATACTTCTTTAGATTAATCTTTCTCTAGTAACTTAGCTTTAGTCTTTTTTGCCTTATTTTTCGCCTTATCGATATCCATTTTAATATACTCCCTGAATCTCTTTTACTTAGAAGCACTCTAGCTCTTAATAACGCGGTCGTAGCGTTCCACCACCTCCTTTAAGGGCGTAAAGCCCTTTTAGCGGCGCGTCGGATTAATGTTCGGGCAGTTACTCCACGGATAGCAGTAGCGTTTAGCTCTTCCTATCTTAACGTAATCGTAGATAAATTCCCTTACCGAAGAATCCTCTTTTCTCTATTACTGCTAACCTTCCTAATTAATAGGCTACTATCTACTATCTTTATCCTTTCCTAGGAATATCGCCGTATAAAACGATAACGCTATAGACTTCTTATTAAGCCTATAGAGATACCTATAGCGTAACTAAACCGTATATTCGTTTATAACCTCTTCGATAGTAGGTTAGTCTTTCTTATCTTTTCTTAAAATCTCTATAAAGCGCGCCTCTAACTACTCTAGAGCTATAGTACCGATAGCTCTAAAAAACACGTTGAGTTAATCCTCTATAGTATTAGAAGATCTAATGCTATAGGTCTTCGAATCTCGGTATAACGATATAAAGTCCTAAAGCTAACGCTTATAGGGTATCCTCCGTATATTTTATATATATTCTTCCTATCTCTTCTGAACTAGGGACTTCTAGGTAGCGTTAGTAGGTTTAAGATAGTCCTTTAAGGCGATTAGGATATCTTTAACCTCCTTCTTCCCCGCGTACTAGTCTTTAAGGTTAGGATTAACTATCTTCGCGATATAGTCGTGAAGAGTAGCTAGACCTCGTTACTATTATTAATATTTATTCTCTTTTACGTTCTATAGCTTAAACTTACGATCCTAGGTAGTATCTTCGTTACCTTCTTTTAGCTTTAGAGGTTCCGAGGATTTAAGCTATTAAGGATGTTTAGATTCGTTAAGGTCTGGATTAATAAGGTTAGAGACCTGGTTAGTATAGGCTATCTATATAATAGCCTTAATCTAACGACGCTATTCTTTTAGTAAGGTAAGGATCGTATAGCCTATTATAGGTAACGCCGTAGTTAAGGCTATCGTCTAACTGACTAGGACTATAGGGAAATAAACTATTAAAACCAACTATAACGATCGATTAAATAAGGAGCGATAAAACGATTAAGAGGTTTAAGTAAGTTAAGCGATTTAAATAAGGGAATAACGGAATAACGGTTAAAATAAAGCAGGCGGACGTAGCGAATAATACCAAGCTAACCGCTATAGACTTAAGGCTATTTTAACTGCCTTAAAGCTGCAGGATTTATCAGAATAGCTTCGTTTATTAGAACGCCGGGCTTATAACTATCAGCATATAAATAAGGTACGTAAAAGATATGTATATGCATTAAAGAAGAGTAAAAGATACTCTGCGGAAATGTCTAACTATAAAGTAAAAGGAGGGGAAATTGATATGGATATATCGGTCGAAAGTACCCTATCCGTCTACAGAAATAGCACAAGTCACACCCCGATAAGGTGGCTATAGGCATCTGACAGCTTACAAACGAGCGCTATTCCGTAGCAGCTGAGTCGCCTGCTTCACTTCTCCTTCGCACCCGAGTAAACAACCCTCACTTCCACAATGCTCAGGCCTAAGAGACATCCTGTGATGCCCTCCAGCGCATCAATCCAAGTTGCCTCACGTGGAAGCGTCAGATACTTGCAGAAGCGCATTGATACTCCGATCACGCAGGCCCGAGAGCTTGTTCTTGTCCGCCCAGATCAGAAGCTGCGGCATGACGAGGAGAGGCTCCAACTTTTCCTGCCCAAGCAGGCAGCACACTGCTCCTGCAACGTGGGGAGAAGCTATTCAGTTGGTGATTTTGTCAGTCCCGGAACCGAAAGACGATATTATATGGCGGCCGAACATTCCTTCAACACATACCCATGGATGTTCCACTAATGGTCGCGCTCGCCGTGAGACTTCCGATCCAGGATGATTGGATTGCCACACCTGGGGCAAAGATGTCGATTACTTTTGTCCGCGCCGATTAGAATGAAATGCACGTATTGAAATGGAAGAGGAGGAAACGAGGGGAGGGGAGGACTTCACTTTTCCCCCAGCTCGAGAAGGGTGGAACGGCGTCTTCGATAGTAGTTGCGCCAACGGTGATGGCTAGCGGCTCGCGGGCTGGAGAGCCAAGGTGGGAAGGTTGCTAAATTTTTAATTTTTTTTTTGGCGCCGTTAGCGACCTAGAACCCTTTCCTCGAACCTACCAGGAAGAGACGATCGACCTACTCCGTCATTCCCAGCAGCCACACAGACGACAACCCCGGACCGAACGGTCGACGCGACGGCACGATCCAAGGCGTCGCTGGCACCCCCGCCGAGGCTCATGTTGACCACCGACGGCTTCCCGTGCTTCTTCGCCTCGTCCACAGCCCACTGGAGCGCACGGATGATATCGCCATTGGTGGCACCGGGCCGCGGGAAGTCGTTGAACACTTTAACGCCCACCACCTCAGCCTTCTTGGCCACCCCGTACGTCTTCCCCGCGATGGTGCCGGCCACGTGCGTGCCGTGGCCGTTGACGTCCTCGTCCCCGGCCGGTCCCAGGCTCACGAACTTGGCGCCTTTCGTGGCGCGGCCCTCAAACTCGACGTGGGCGTCGTTGATGCCCGTGTCGATCACGTAGGCGACCGAACCCTCGCCCGTGGCGTCGTATCGGTAGTCGTAGGGACCCGTGGCCGGCAGCCTGGTTCGGGTGGAGATGCGGGCGAGGCCCCAGGGCGCGCCGCTCTGGACGGTGGCGCAGTGGCGGTAAATCTGGACGGGCTCGATGGTGGCTACCTCGGCGCGGTCCTCCAGCTCTGCTTTGGTTTCGTCGTCGAACTTGGCTGTGTAGCCACGCAGCTCAGGCAGGCAGAAGCGGTCTCGGACACGGCAGTGGAAGTGCGTCCCTGGATCATTGTTACGGTCATTGATGTAAGATATGTGCTCATCCTCAAGGGCTTCGTTGGCATATGGCTTAAGTGTCACGATCCACTCGCCGGTGATGATTTCGCCAGCCATGGTGAGTCCGAGTTGCTCGTGTCCCTGTTGTTTATGTATGTCGTTGATTGTGTTCCTCTTCTGATTGCTTGGTCTTGTTCGTCTTTAACGGAGACCCCGGAAGTGCAGAGATTGGCGAGGAATGCTCTTTTTATCAACGGTCGTTCTTCTCCTTGACGACGGTTCAGCTTACGGCGTCGTCACGTTGTGCTCCCCATCTGGAGCTGGCGGATGACCGTGGCATCGTCCAATGCCAGAGTTCAGATCCAGGGTCACGTTTCCTCATCTCCATACCTTTTCTTCACTCTTAGTGGAATAGCTATCTAGTGTCAGTTGTGGAAGGTTGTACGGCAGATCCAGATCTAAAGGATAGACTGGCATCACTCAGCTATACGCCTGGCGTTGGGGGAATTTGGTCACGGAATGAAATCGCGTGAGGAACAGCATGACCTTGCTCGCTACCTGAACGAGCCTCTGAGAGACGATAATCTGAGCTTCAGGTCAGCTTGATTCAAACTAGAAGCCGCAAATGGCAACGTTCTACATCCCCGTCTTTAACCATTTCCTGTAAAACTCTCCAATGTCTTTTTGTGACCATAGGCAAGAAAGAAGACATGGAAAATGCGACGTCCGAGTCGAAATAATGTGAGTGTATGTATACTTTGCAATATATATGGGAGATCTTGACATCGCTGGCTATGTCCTCCGCCAAGGAAATGCACTATGCTCGCTCTCTAAGGTATCCCCTTGCCCTGCAGAACGTATGTATCGTATATATCGTGGTCATCTTCCGTGTACCTCGGTCCCTCCCTCTCTTTTGGTCCCCCGTTCGCCGTCTTTGTACATGCTGTCCAGAAATGGCCAACCCCTACCAAACCAACGACCCGAAACCGAGCCACCCACGAGAGACGCCCCAAGAAACACCCCAAAAAAAGGAGAAAAGGAGAGGGCGGGCCGGCGCCATCGTCTTCAACCCCTCCCACCGTTATAGTCGGCACCACCAGCCTTGCGAAGCCGGGCCACAACGTCCTTCTCGTCCAGGTCGGTCCTGTCGCTCGCATTGACCTGGATGCTGTGGTGGCCGAGGACCCTGCGGACGTCGCCGCTCTCGACGCTGACGCGGGCCTTGCGCATGACGCGGGTGTTCTCGCCGATCCAGACGATCAAGGCGAACTTGACGCGGGTGCTCTCCGAGTCGTTGGCGTACTCGACGCGCACGTAGCCGTACTGGACCTGGGCGTCGTCCAGCTCGCCGGCCAGCTCCGATAGGCCGCCGCTGCCCGTCTTGGTGAGTTTCAGCTGGTTCGAGGTCGCCGACGCGTGCGATATGAGGAGCCAGTTGGCCGGGTCCTTGTCGGAGCGGACGGCTTCGTAGGCGGCAGCGATTTCGGGGGACTCGAGACCGGACATTGTGGAGATGGGTGGGTTGAACAAGTGTACTCCGTACCGGTCTGCCAGGGTCGGTGGGCGTGGAGGGGGTTCGGGTTCGGAGGTGAGGAATCAGGATGAGGGGTGGATGCGATGAGTGGACGGTAGGAGGGCCGATACTTTGTTAAGAATGACTTGACTAAAGGGACAGAGCGCAACAATCATGGAAAAGGCGCTCGAAAGCACCAATTGAGGTCTTTGAGGCGGTAAGGGATCCTCGGACGGTGGACGAGATGGAGATTACGGGGTGGAGGTTGGGGGAGGGGAGGGGGGCTGCAGGAAGGACCTCGCATAATGCGATATTCCCAACTATCCATCCTGTCAGATAGTGGAAGGTCGATATCGGGGCGTGACTTCGGTTTAATTCCGGGTGAGTTCGGCTACTTGATCAGCTTATACCCGGAACCCTGCTAAGCCCTGTTTCCTTAGGATAAATAGTTATAGGCACTTCCTATAGAGGAACCTTTCCTATCTATAAGCGAATATATATATAATTCCGTGTACTAGTCGATTAGAATAGAGTCGTTGTACTAGAACGCGGGGCTTATAACTATAAGAATATAAATAAAGTACGGAAAATTATATATATATATATCAGTAAAGCTCGTAGTACTTCACAGGAATATCTAACTAGTAGAAAAAATATAGGGAAATAAGTACAGATATATAGGATTAAGGTACTCCATACGTCTAATATAATATAGTTTATCACACCTCGTTAAGGTGGCTATGGGCATCTGATCTATCCAATCCCTAAGATTACGGACCGTAGGTACGTACCGATGTACCGACAGGAGACGTCTCTCCTCACCGTCAACCTCCCCAAACTTCCTCTCAACATATCACCCCTCCCCCCTTCTCCGTTTCTTTTCTTCAGGCTTCTGGCTATTATGGAGGCGCACGAGGCTGATGTCCGCCGCATAGCGGACGAGGTGAAAGGGTTCCACACCCGCGGCGAGCCCTTCCGCATCTTTCACGGCTCAACCAACTCAACGCGTCCTCCTCACGGCCAGTCCACCGTGGACATCAGCGCCCTCTCGCGCGTCCTGCACATCGACCTCGAAGCCCGGACTGCCATAGTCGAACCCAGTGTCCCTATGGACCGCCTCGTCGACGCTACTTTACCCTTGGGTCTCGTGCCACCGGTCGTCATGGAGTTCCCCGGCATCACCGTCGGGGGCGGGTTCGCCGGGTCGGCGGGCGAGAGTTCCTCATTTCGCCACGGAGGCTTTCACAGTATCATTACCTCCATCGAAATGGTCCTGGCCACTGGGGAAGTGGTCACGGCTTCTTCTGAGGAACGGCCTGACCTCTTCCGAGCCGCGTCCGGCGCTCTCGGGACCCTTGGTATCGTCACCAAGCTGGAGATGCGCCTCATCCCGGCCGGGAAATACGTCGAGCTCGTCTACCACTCGTATTCCTCTGCGAAAGAGGGCATCTCCGCTTTGCAGCGTGAGACGAAGGACCCGGACAACGATTTCGTAGAGGGCATCGTCTTCTCGCGCACTTGCACCGTCGTCATCACCGGTCGCATGACTGACGACCTAGCATCCAAGGACTCCCCCTCCCGTCGCCCTCAGACTTTCACACGTCCCAACGACCCGTGGTATTATCTGCACGTCCGCAACCGCGTATCTTCACCATCCCCTCCCTCCTTGTCGTCCCCCTCCCCCAGGACGGACCTCGTCCCCCTCCGGGACTACCTCTTCCGATACGACCGCGGCGGCTTCTGGATGGGCGAAGTCGCCTTCGGCTACGCCCGCGTGGTCCCATTCAACCGCCTAACCCGCCGCCTCCTCAACCGCATCATGAACACCCGCGCCCTCTTCCGCGCCGGCCTGGGCGGCGGAAGCCGCATGACCTTCCGCTACCTCGTCCACGACCTGTCCCTGCCCTACGCCACAGTCGGCAACTTCATCGACTACGTTGCCGACACCCTCGACATCTGGCCTCTGTGGCTCTGTCCCCTACCTCCCATCCAGCAGCCCACCTTCCACCCGTCCTCGACTACCACCACCACCGCCACCGCCGACGAGGATCAACAGCAATCACAGCAGCCACCCCAACTGGGTCATCGTGGCCGTGACGCCGCTGCTGACCCGGTACCCACGCTCAATGTCGGCGTCTGGGGCGAGGCCAAAGGCTCCGACGACTTGGAAAGCTTCGTCCGCGTGAACCGCGATCTGGAGACGACACTCCGCCAGCTCGGCGGCCGCAAGGTCCTTTACTCCCATGCCTACTACACCGAGGACGAGTTCTGGAGCATCTACGACAGGGAATGGTACGACGGCCTCAGAGAGAAGTACCGCGCCTCCACGCTTCCCACCGTTTACGACAAGGTCAAGGTTGACGTCGACCGGGAGCGCCGTCGGAGAGGCATCCTCGACAGATTGGCCGTGTCGTGGCCTTTAGCTGGCCTCATTGGCGTCGCTTCTGCTTTGCGCTCGTAGTAGCCTGCTTTGCCCTGCCCTGCCCTGCCTGAGCTGTTGGTTTGGTTCGAGATACCCCTGCAAAGACCACTGGGGACTTCCCATACAAAGACCTGGTGCAATGTAATGATGCTGTAATGCAATATGGCCCGAAGGCATCTAAATGTCCGGCCCTCCCGATATTTTAGATCAATGCCGCTGCAGATTAATGACTAGCATCTCAAGAGCTTTCTCCATCTCCGCGGCCGACATTCCACGGCGGAAGACACGGAGGCGGTCGAAAGCTGGCGGCATATGCTCACTGCACAGCCAATTTAATCCTGGCCAGACCGAAATACATAAAACGACGGGTGCCCAGCCCCTTCACAGACCTCAATATATACGCAGAGTCCAGGTCAGCCAAAAGTCTCCCTCGCGTATATAGTCACGAGCCTTCACTATTACCCATCCTTATATATCCCCATCCCTCCACAGAAGAAATCTTGCGTAGGTATTTTTTAGGTATTTCATACCCCCAAAGCATTGGGGTCATAGTGCGTCCCCCCGGTCCTCTCCTCTCTCGCCGTTTTTGGCCGGTCCGACGCCGGCAGATCCTCAATGAAAGTGTCTCGCCCGTACAAGAAATAGGAAGGTATCAACAAGGAAGGGGAGATGGCCTTGCCGCCACCCAAGCTCCCATAATAATTAGGCAGAAGGACAAGACAGAAAAGGGAGAGAGGGTCGAAGCAAGCCGAGAAGACAAGGCAAGAAGAGAAGGGGAAAGGAAAATGATGAGCAAGGACAAGGAAGGGAACGAAAATGATCAATAAAACAAGAAACGAATGGTGGTATCACGAAACGGGATATTGCCACCTGCCCGTCTTCAGGTCCACGTATCCCAACCGCCGGGCCATCTCCAAGAAGTCCTACTCCTCATCGACGCTCCCCATCAGCACGTTGCCCCGGCTGGACTTCTTCCCCAGCCTCAGCATGCTGAACCGCTTGCGGACGCTCCCCATCCTCGCCATCCCATTCCCACCGCTGGACGGAGGGCGCTCATCGTTTTCCTTGTCCGCGGTGCTGGACCGCACGTCGGAGCTCTGTCGCCCTCCCGAATCCGTTATCACCCATTCGGTCCCCTCGGCCTCTGCCGGTCCGTTGGCGGGGCTGCGAAAGAAGCTTCGCCGCGCGCCCTGGTCCTTATCCATGCTCTTGCTTCGGTCGCTGAACGTCTCGCCTTTCTCGTGTGTGCCCGATCGGTCCCCGTTCGTCTGCGGCGACGATGACTGATCCTTCTTTCGACCGCCCAAAAGGCTCAGACGGGCCCCACGTCCTTGTCGGATCGATACCGGTTGCACGGCCGACGCTTCCTCGGACAGAATGCCGAGCCCGTTCGACATGACCGCTGCCGTTAGGCTCAGGGGAGGCGAGCCCGGCTCGAAGCGGGTTGAACGTCGCCACGTCGGTGACGGCGCGACAGGAGTCTCTCGTAGCGGTTGGGGTGGCGCGAACATGGCAATCTCGGGTGCGAACGTGCTCTCAAAGTCTAGAAGCGGGACGTCAATTAGTGGCTGTTTGAAAGACAGCAAGTGGGATTGCGTCGGCGGGTTCTTACGTCGTTGGAGTTCCTCATGTACCCGGTTGAGAGCAGGATTTGAGCTCCGCGAGAAGGTAGCCAGGCACCTCTTGAGCATGATAGCATGGTCTAAGAGAGCCATCCGGATGGCATTGTCCTGGGGGCTCAGCTCGACTTCTTCGTCTTCCATTTCGGGAACAGGCAAAAGTCGCCGGTAGCAGGAAACACTGTTTTCCGAATTGGCGTTGACGGAAACACTGACCGCGTCCACGAGAAGCTGCGCATTTTCCTCGTCACCCTCGGAAATGCGCTTTTCGATGGTGGACATTTCTTGCGTCTTGCGCACGATGCGCTCCAGCCCGGTCTGATGGGCATTCAGCCGTATCTCGTCGACATGCACAATCTCGCTCCGGCGTAGGATAGTGGGGAAGGGGTCGGCCGTGGTGTAGACCAGTTTCTCGGCGTAGTGCTCCGTCACCGGTCCGGAGGTGTTACGCTTGGAAGACACGGAGAAGGCCTGAGGCCCGGAGGAGATGAGGTAATCGCGGATGACCTGGGGAACGCGAGATCGCTGGAAGACGTGATGGGAGAGGTCACGATGAGGCGAAATGGCGGAAATGACCAGGTACTGGCCCTCAGCGTCGTCGACGTCGCCCCCGGAGATGATCTGAGCCGACGGGTACTGCTCTTGCATGCGATCGGTGAAGGCGGAAGCGCGTTCTGTCGGCGAGCCCTCAAACACGAACTCCTTATCGCGGAGACTGGGAGGGAATCCGAGCCCCTTGTACACGACCTTGAAATATTTCGGCACCAGCTTCTCACTCTTGCTGATGGTTTCATAAATGGTAGCGATGGCCCGCTCAGTCCTCGCGAGCTTCGCAAAGTCGAACACGTTAGTCTCGTATTGGACCTGGAGCTCCTTATACGCAGCGAGCGCAACGTTCCAAGCCTCGCCTTCCTCAAAGTGTTTGATCATCTCAAAGTAGATGCGTTCCTTCCTTTCAAAGTGCGTCTGCGCCGGGAACTCGGGTTCTGCGAGTGCGCCGACTTGCCTGGCCGGATCCCAGTCGTACAGATCGGCGTGGAGTCGAAGAGCAAGACCGGCTTCTGTGTGATTCCTTGATTCGCTCTGGAGCGTGGACAGCTGGTGAACATAGCGAATGAAGATCTCTTCTTTCTGCATGTCCCGAAGGAATTCCATCAGCCTGAGGCGGTTGATCAGATGCGAGGCCTCGCTGGTGACGTCTCCGCTATGGACAGCTACGAGAAGGTCGAGGAACTCATCGACCGTGCCAATCAGGTCGCGCATTGCCGCATAGAGAGGCTCGTCGGGAACCTGTGACAACGGCTCGAACCTTTCGAGAAGCTCGGAGACGAACAGTTTTTGGAGTATGCTCTCGGTGAGGGGTTTCGACTTGAAATACTGGTCGAGGCAGTCGATCATCTCCGTCTGGATGACCGAGAGGTCCTCGCCCAGGGTCCACTCACTCACGATCATGGTCTGGAGGACCTCGACCGCCATCCGCCGAAGACCCTCGTGCACGCTAAGACAGAGCTCGACAATGGGGCCGACCTGGGTCGGCACGTATTGGACTTGGTAACCACCCAGCTTCTGCAAGCCGTACTTCGCCCGCTCCTCGGGACTAGCATCCCAACCGATGGCCTCCCATGTCCGGCGAAGCAGCTCCGCACCGTGCTCCCGGACATCTCCGGCGATCTTCCACACGGCCCTGCGTTTCTGCTCGGGAAAGGTTTCCAAGGCCAGACCTGGGCTCCCAACGAGCTTGAGCAGTGTGCTGAAAAACGCCCTCCAAAGCTCTGTGTTGAAGTGCTCCGCGTCGTCAGGGTCGGGCAGGAAGGACTCTAACATGATGGTGGAAAGGTACTGAAGGGACCCCATGATGGACTTGTGGTGGTGGATATGAACGCTCAGCCAGTGGGAGGGGAAAGCTTCTCCGCTCAAGATGCTCATGTACACGCGAAGCACGTTCTCCAGGAGCAGCGACATGTCCTCTTCGCCCAACTCGAGCTGCATGCCGCTTGGGGAATTCGAGACCGCCGACAAGATGGCGGACAGCTCAATAAGCGACTCGTCGTAGGTAATCTCGTCGGCGACGGTGATCGGCTTCGTTGTGAAAGGGTATGACATGGGGAAAAGAAGAGAGAGTCGGCTGCGAGACTGGATCGGAGCCGCCTTGATGCAGAGGTACGAGTCGATGAGCTTCGGAATGTGATCGGGGATTTCAGGGCCTAGAGAATCCAGTTGCGTGGCCAAGACGGAACAGCAGAGGCGCACTTGATCTTTCCATAGGTCAGTGACCTGCTCCTGATGGCCCCAGTGCGGCTCAATCCACCGGACAGTATTTGCGGTGAGTGCAGCCTTCTGTTCCGGATGGGAGAACAGGTCCAGCTTGGAGTAGTTGATGACGAGGACGAGCTTGTACAGGACCAACTTGCCCTTGACCTCTGAGCATGCGTCCATGAAGTCGATGGCAACGTGAAGTATCTCTTCGGTGGTCAGGAGACCCGAGAGCTCCGGCAACCAGGTGTGGAAATGCTGGACGGCCAGGGTCTGGCTGCCCACCAGGACAGGAGCGGGGTTACGCATCATGGCATCCAGTGCTTTGAATATACTCCGAAGATGACGAGTGAAGCCAGGCGACGAGGTTGTGAGTCCTATCCCAGCCTCCTTCGCTTTCTGCTGGCCCCTCGCATGGGTGATGAACTTCAAGATATGGCGGACAACTTTGAAGGTGGACCGCAACTTGCGCGACGTCTCGGGTTCGGTCGGATTCTCCAGCAGCCTGGTAAACGACCGGACGAGACATGGCGTCGCAAAGGGGTAATTGAAGCGGTTTTCGGCGTACTGGTCCACCAGCGGGCCAAGGTTGAATCTCCGGTCGTGCACGATACCCAGCACCCTTACCAGGGCGGTGAAGACGAGGTCTTCGTACTCGTCATTCCCAGAGTGCTCGACAAGAATGCCGAAGAGAGCATCGAGGACGTCGCTAAGCAGTTTGACGACCTCAATCTCAGGGACGAAAATCAGATGGTTCAGCAGTTTCGGAACTTCTTCCTTGGGAACTTCCTTCCACTTGAGCAGTCCAAGGACCACCTTGTCCTGGGAGAATCGAGTGCTGCAAAGATATGTATGGGTCCTCAGTGTGGCCAAGGGGCCCGTAACCTCGGCCGAGTGCTCGCTGTCGCCCCGCGCACTCCATTGAACAGACAGATAGCCACCCTTGCCGGAGGCTTGTCCATGGGCCGTCGACGTGTTTTCGTCTAACTTGTAGAGAAGCAAAGCATGGGCACCGTCTCGCACAAATGCCTGCTGGTTCCATAAAGGCATGTGAGCGACGGCAAAGGGGGGATTCGGCGCATCGGAAAGCAACATGACGACGTGTGCAGTGAACACGTCCCGCGGAGAGACCGAGAGTCGGATGGTCTGGTTCCACGAGTCGCCCTTTTCCGCAGCTAAGGACTTCCATACCGAGACGCCTTCGGAGTTGGAGGATGCGAACACACAATTCTCTATCCTCTTCCCTTGGTTGTTGCGGACCTCGAGCGTCACTTGCAGATTGTTACCATGCACGTTGCCGGGGATAGCCGTTGGGTTGCCGCCGAACCTCGAGAGGAGAGTATGCCTGGAAAGCGTCGCCTGATCTAATGTGACATATATGTCCGATCTGGGTTTCGTCGGTGCCCCGGAGAACCCCATCTTGCTGGACTTGCAGACTCCGGAGAGCAAAGTTGGCGTGGCCTTGATCAGAGCGTCCGCATCCGGGTGATTGAATGCCTTCAGCTGTACCTGCACCCGCTCAGCCCTCCGAGACTTTTCGTAACGACCTGACCGGCTGTCTAAAAGTTCGCGGATCAAAACGTCCGAGTCCTCCTCCGGGCCCTGCTTTTCGGATGCAAACGACGGGGATGGAGACGGTGACCAGATGCTGACGACTTGTTCGATGGAGTCGTATTGCTTCATGATTGAGTTCAGCTTGAGGATCCCAACACCCACCGTCCTCTCCGCCATTGCATGATGGACGTGGCTGTCGTCGATAGAGCCAGTGCGTGACAAGGAACCGGCAGTGCTGGGAGGTCGGTAGCCGTCCCGGCTCTCGGCTTGTGTCACACCGCCGGATTCTTGCTGCTCCGTCAGGGCGTCGAGCTTAGCGACTTCCCGACCACGAGAAAAGGCGGTTCGTGAGTTTTTAGAGCCCCACATGAGACTCCTCCTTATTGTCTGCTTCCCGCTTGACGAGTTCGGCTTCGGTGGTTCTTTGCTAAATGGCTGTGACTTTTGTCCCGATCTCGACTGGGGCTTGCCACCACCCATGACTTGCTGGGTCGCTCGGACCTGGATGACGAGGTATAGCTCGGTTTCGACGGAAGGGACATCGCCTATATCCTGTGCCGATAGGTCTGCGAACAGCGTCTTGAGCTGGCCAGATTTGGCTAGGCTGCCCATGGTTCCACCGGCGGGTATCTGGACTGTGAAGGTCTCTGACAGAGGTACCGGTTGGCCACCCGCGGACTTGGTTAAAAGGTAGAGGGCAAGAGACGTTTCCTCGGAGGAGGCGCCGGCGAATCCTCTAACGTCGACGAGCAAATGATGCAAAGCGGTCAGCTCGAGAGTCGGTTGCGGAGGCTCGTTGAGAAGGCTCATCATGGACTGCAGCTTGGTCGTCTCCACGACGGAGTCATCGCCCGTCAGAACCCTACCCCGTTCCCGGGGATCACGGACGATGACTTCTCCGCCGCAGAGCTTGTTGACACGGACCAGATCCCAGACAGTCTTCTCGCGAAGTTTTTTAAGCTCGTGATTGGCCAGGACATTGTGAAGCAGTTGTTGCCTGCTTAGGTACAGGGAATTAATGAGCTGGGAGAGCTGGTCAAGTCGGGAGTACTGGCGGGTGAGGAGGAGTTCGTGTAGGTTCGTGGAGTGCCATTCTCGGAGGCAGCTTGCTATCTCGTCGATGAGGGGTTCTGCGGCAGATGTGGGAGACTCGTCGCCGATCTTGAGCATGGGAACGGGCGCCGGGGGTCGCGGGGCTCCGGGCTCACGCTTGACGGGCACAGAAAGACTGGTACGAGTGCCATTGGGGAGTTCTCTCGGAATTTTGCGGCCTCTTCTTTCCCGGTGTGGCGGGCCAGTACGGTGTCTATCCTGAATCGGCAGCCTTCTCTCGTCGGCATCCCCTATGAGTCCGCTCTTGGCCGAATCGCTCTCAACGAGGCGTTGGTCTCGCCTGGGTTGGTGGTCGTCTGTGGCATCGCTGTTGTCGTCCGTGTCCTCAGACTCCCCCAGAAACTCGCGAATCTCGACGCAGCTGCGGGGGAAAATGCCACTGAAAACGCGAGCCTCCAGAGTTTGACCCTTTACCGAGGTAAGGCCTGTGAGCAGGCTCGGAGGCGCCACTAGGTATCCACGCAGCCAGTTGCCGTCAGGCGTCTCCTCGATAATGTAGAGCTCATCGCCAATCTCGAGTGGTAGGTCGGCCGGGCCCGAGGCAGCAAAAGGGTAGGTCGCGACGGCGAAGGCGATTCGGAGCAACGGTTGCCAGGGCATGAGAGGCTTCTGGTCATGGATACTCGAGTCCTAAGTACACGTAGAGATTATAATAAGTAGGAGCAAGTGATTGGCCCCGGCACTGATCACAATGGCAGATTTTTGCTACCGGAAGAAGGAAAAGGTATAAGGGGGAGAAAGCCTGGCGCGGTTCCGGACGCGCTTCGAAGATGGCTTCAGCAAAGCGGGGTGGTGGTGGTCTAGGGCTTCATCAGGTTATCGACTTGTTTGTTTCTCGTTTTGTTCTTTCGTGTCGTCCAGTCTAGCTTGGTGAAGGACGTTGCGAGCAGTCAACGGCAAGGGACGGAAAGTAGAGGCGGCTGCAATGCGACGCGATCGGTCGGTCGGATGCCTGCAGGTCGATCCCGCAAGTCGTCGTCGAGCAGGAGGGTCGCAGATGGGATATATCCGTAGGGTATCTGCAGCCGCGGGAGTCGATGGCTGCACGTCCGGAAGTAGGCAGTTTATGGGTAAATTTTCGTCGCCGAATAAAGCGGGAAGAGAAAGACAGAACACGCTGAAGAAAAGAGACTGGCTTGTTACGGAAAGTCAGGCACTGAACAGATAGAGTACTTGCGTCGATCCGTGTGGGCTCTGGGGATGAAGATGGACATACGTACCAAAAGTGGGTATCTCAGGGGTTAGATATCAAAAGAACGTTTGGAAAGGACCGACAGGGACGTTTGATTCCAAGAACGAGGCCCAAAAATCCGTGGAACTCTTGGTGTGTTCGGCTCGCAGGTTAGAGAAAAGAGATGAGATGTAGATGGAGGCTGACGAGTACCAATCCCTTTTTTTTTTTTTTTTTCGTTCCTGCCACGATCAGAGAACAGAAGGACTGACCAGGGGTGGAGAGAAGAAGGAGGGAAAATTAAGGTAAGCTTGTTTGCGCTGTACCTCACTAGCAGCAAATTGCTTGCTTCTTACCCCTGAAAAACTATCAATCCACCATGTCCGGGGGCCTGATAATCAAGTACCTCCCTATTTAGCGCTCCTCTGCCTCCTCGAGACCATGAGACAGGTGAAGGGGACTTGGGGTAAATGGACCAATCGGACTGCGAACCAACCGGACACCATTGGTCAATAAGTGAGCAGCGTAAGGAAGTGGAGAAGGATATTAGAGAAGGCAGATGTATCTTTAGCTAGCGAAGTTCATCATGCAGCCTTTGATACATGCAGATTGCTTAACCTGCTTCCACGATCTGCAGAACGAAGTTCTCATATCAGAACGAGAAGTTTCTTTCACGAACTTTCTTACTCGCTTTTACCCTCGAGAATAAACACTTTATTGTGTTCTCGTTTATTCTAAGCAACCCTCCCTACTGCCACAGAAGTGAGCGTAACCCAAAATGTGACGGCGGCCTATTCTATGTCGGGCTTCACGTCTCTAGATGGGCACGGATGAATCCGAACCAGACATGACATGCGTACTTAGCAGCTAATCAGAAGAGTTCCGTTAATCGTTTTCTCGATCCTCTAGACAATTCTATCCGTAAATGCTGGGCAAGTCCTAATAATTCTTTCAGTGAAACCCAACTTCTAATAGTGCCTCGAGTTTTCGTTCCTGTATCTGTTAGTCTACCCTTCCTTTCAGGGAGAAACCAGCTTCTGTCCCGACTCGACAAAGGCAATGGGGTAGGCGGGCATGGTGTGCGGCATGTGCGGCATGCGGCATACGACCACACGTTCACCGCGCGTCTCGATGCCTCGTTGGAAAATGTCAAGTACCTCGCTGCCATAATAGTCGGTTGAGGCTAAGCACGTGCTTCCCAGATCAAACGTGTGGGCGTTTAATCTGGTCAAGATCCCAAATTTTTGCAGCGCCACGACTTGACTGATGGAATTCAGGGACGCCCGCTATCAACACCGAACGACGCCTTCAACATTAAACTTTGGTTCTACCTATAGACTCGATGGAAACTACGGATAAGGTTAGAAACTTACAGCCAGTCTCCGAATATTCTGGCTTGACTCTATGGAGCAGGGTCCTTTGCAGATCCCCGTCCGTTAGGCCCAAACCTTATCCAAGAGTCGCCGTCTCGCAGTCCCGTTGAGACCCTGGGCACTTCCTGGAAAATTCCAATCTTCCCTAGAAGCAGTCCATGACCTTCCTGGAGGCTTCCCAGAAAGTTGTCCTGGTTCTATAATAGCAAACATTTGGAGAATTTAAAGGCGTCATCGAACCTCGGATCCAAACGAAGTCGGCGCTTCGGTTATAGTTGATCCATAGAAACGTGGTAGGCCGGTAGCTACTAACTTCGTGCGGACGTTTAAGCGAACGCACGTTAGGGACGAGATCGGACGGTGGTCGGATGATATGGCCACTTGAAAATATGACGGTGCCTGAACCTGGATACTATCGGCCAGGACCACAATATTGACTAAGGAGATGAGGTATAACTCCGTATTGATACCTCGGACGGGGCTTGGTATGGGAGATGTGAACGCGGACCAACAAATCAGCCTGACTGTTTCCGACATATCGAACGCATCGAGCGCTCCGTGTCTATTACGACTAAGTTTGTTTCCCCCAAGACTTTCCTCAGTTGGGAGAAATGCGACGAGGGCTGTTCAATTCTGTCAGTGGTCGATTCGGAGCGCGGCCCAGCAGCTTCGGATCAAGTACAGTTAAATACTCGGCAATATATCGCTGGTGATAATCACGTGACTTTTGCATCTCAGGTCCGGATAGAATACCTAAAATAACCGTGTCAAGTCATTTCCCCACACTGTAGAAACGCGTCCTACCCTCGGCCCCGGATTTGCTTTGGGGTCCGAGATGCCTTTAGTAAGCGGAGATTTTATCGTACCGCAAAAAGGAGCCGGCTATCGTCTGTGTTTCAGATGGTGATGTTACAACGATAGCGTGGTCAGCAAGGCCTGCACTAACATCCTGTCTCGGAAGGCTTGCCTGAGAACAGGACTCATTTTGCTCAAGAATTTGAAGTTGGCCATGATTAATGGTCAAAACTGTGCACACCGTTCCCTCTGTTTCGTGCTGCGAGGACAACACCACTATCAAATTCCCGTGAACTGGAGTACCATTATTACCCCGTATTACTTCGTAATTCGTACTCGCGTTGCATATCAACGCGTTCCCTTGGATTTTCCAATTTCCCTGTCGTCACACGTTTTCTCTCGGCACACACCCGTTGTACAGTATAAGTACAAGTACAAAGTCCGAACTGCTCCGTGCGTGCCTCGAAGGGTTACGTGAAAATGAGGTAATTGGGCGTTCTTTGCCCCACATGCGCCTTGGCGACTGGACAGGCACGTACCTGAGGTACCTTATGTTTGTGTGTCTCGTGCTCTCTTGCTTCTTTCCACGACGGCGGGTTTATTAGTCCATTTAGCTCTACACTAATTACTTTGTATTTTTTCTTGCTTTTTTTTTTCTCTTCTTAATTTATAGAGTCTTGGAAAATCGAGAGGTATTAGTCGAAGAAGCTCCGGCCAGACTTCACTTCGCAGTTTGTCAGGTACACGTGTAGTTGAAGCTTCCAAGTCAGGAGAAGCACAAATGCAGGTAACATCGCTACCTTGTTGAGAAGAGAAACAGCGGGTCATCCAGAAACGACGACGGTTATAGGACCAGTCACAACGACCGCCCAGTCTCTGCCGAGGCATGGTCCACTATTCCAACGGCATGCCATAGCTGGGCAACCTCCAACAATGCCAACAATGCCAACAATTTTGTCACGCAAGTAGAATGTAAAAGTCTAGGTACCTTCCCCCCTTCTACTCATCTCACTATCCTAGTTTTCACTAATTATTTTAGTACATATTGGCTTTTCTTGGCCCATTCCTTTGGATGGGATCAGGAAACTGCAACGGCGCGGGTGTATGCCTTATTAGTCTGTGGTACCCTCTCGGGGACAGGGACGGGACCGAAGGTAATAACGGCGAGAGAGTACGGAGTACAACTGCCAAGCTTCGGTCTCGGTCTTGCGAGTCAGCTGTACTGATACATGCCATACCACAACGCTAACAGTAAGGTACCTACCTTATGGGCTGGTAGTTAGGTCTTTGGTCGGAGTCCGAAGTACGAGATTCGGGCGGAAAGGTGGAACCTCACGTACGCTTCGTACCTACGGATAATACTCCTGGACCGTGGTGGACTGGTGGTAGTACAGGTACAGAGTACTACGACTCGCTGTAGTGTAAGGTAGGTAGGTAGCGTAGTGCACACCAGGAATCCAACAGCCAACGTTGGGTGGGAAGGGCAAGAGAACCCATGCAACCCTCGACTGTCAGTGACTGTACTTCCTTGCCGCCGATGCCGATGCCAATGTCATGGCATTTTTGAAGAACCCCTATCCTCCCTCCCCTCAAGACCCTTCCTACTTCTTCCCAGCTCTCCACATCCCAATTACATACAGTGCTTCTGTTTTCTTCCCCCTCTCACTTATGCCGAAGATTCCATTCGGCCTCTTCCACCCCTTCTAACCCTGAACTTCCTCCTCTGAATCCTGTCTCCCTTCCAGACGAATGGGTATTTCCAACTTAAGACAATAGTTAACCTCACATTCTGGGGATTCTCCTCCCTCCGTCTGTCCGCTCCAACCATCTGCCGTCCCGATCCCTTGGCAAGGAGCGTTCGACTGCGATCGCGCACACCTGTCGTCTCTCCAGCTCATTCTATTCCCTCGGTCTCGAAGCGATCATCTCCCACGATCGATTTTGTTGGAGGGTATTTACGATCCCACTCAGGTTCAACATCCCAGAGCTCTTCCTTGGACACTGTTCAGCCATTCCGTTCGGCTTGCACTCGGTTTCGCTTCTTTTCTGTCCCGACGAAACATTCCCCGTTGGCACTTGCGGTTCGTCCGTAATTCTTCATCACTATGGGAATCGGCGCCGTCGCCGAGCCCTTGGTGGTGGTATCCCTCCTTTTCGGCGGCACTTGGTTCAACCGAAATACTGGCCGAGATGACGCCTACGACAATCTCGGCTGGACCGACGACGGCCTCGGTCAAGGTGATAGCAAGAGATCCGACGACCACAATGCCAGCCCCGTCCGGTCAGGCACGGTCTCCCCGGTCTCAGAAAATGCGCTTCTCAACACTTCTTCGACCCTGGCAGCCAGTGACGAACCACTCAGGCGGCTGAGGAAATTCAAGTTCCTTAAGTACCAGCGCACTGTGACTACTCCCAATACGAGAGTCTTCAAAGACCGTCTATTGAGTCGACTACTCCGCAAGTTCCCTTTCCTCGTCGAGGCCTGGTATTGGGCGTTGATCTACTGGGTATGTCAGCGACTCGGCAGCTACGGAAGCTACGAAGCCTCCATGCCGTCGTCCTTTCATCTCCGCAGAGTCCTAACAACTATTCTCTTTTCTAGGTATACCAGCTCGGCCGGGCTTTCACAGCTGTCACTCTGGTTGAGGGTACCGTCGATGTTGCTCGCCGACACGCGCTGCAGGTCATTCACCTGGAACAGGCTCTTAACCTCTTCGTCGAGCTTCCGGTCCAGCAGTATCTCTTGCAGTATCCCACCGCCATGCATTGGGTCAACCGCATCTACTCCTTCATCCATATTCCGGGCACCATCCTCTTTCTCGTCATCCTCTACTACATCACCACCACCCGGCGTCGCCGTGCCATTTCTGACAAAATGGCAGGCAACGATGCCAGTGGATGGGGCTCGGCCGGCCCGGCTCTGTACGAAGCTCGTCGCCGCACCATGGCAATGTGCAATCTGTTGGCCTTCATCATCTTCACGCTTTGGCCCTGCATGCCGCCTCGGTTACTGAGCGATCCAAACTATAACGGTCCGGATGCCGCCGAAGCGAAAAGTTTTGGTTTCGTGGACACTGTGCATAGTGCCGATGGTGAGAGCAGCGTCTGGACGACGAACAAATTCTGCAACCAATATGGTACGCTATTTCCGGCTCCCCTTTTTCGCTCCGCTCCGCCACGCCCAAACGCCACTGGGGACTTGTGCTCAAGGGCCATGCGTTCTCATAACGGCTTACTGACATGTGGTGCAGCTGCCATGCCTTCCCTCCACTTCGGCTATTCCCTTCTTATCGGCCTCACCGTTGCTACCCTTCCAGTCTCGAACTTGCGGTCCCGTTCCTGGAAGCGTCTCGCCATCGTCGTCGCCGGCATGTCATATCCAGCACTGATTCTTCTCGCCATCGTAGCGACTGCGAACCACTTCATCCTAGACGCCGTCGCGGGCGCCATGGTGTGCGGCATTGCATGGCATGCCAATGGTCTGCTGCTGAACCTGCTTGTTGTCGAGGATTACTTTCTGTCGCTCGTTCGAATCCACAAGCCCGTGAACTGGACAGACCCCGACACCGCGGTGGACGACAGTGGATGGCGCCCAAGCATACTGGTCGATCAGGTATAGACGATTACGTTCCGGGGCATGCTGTGATGGCAGGCGAGCTCGGAGGTACATAGCATAAGGTCAGCATCCGGGAAAACGGAAGATGTTAATTTAGTTGGTAGCGATGCTCGGTCCAAATTTTCGGCATCGAGTGGTATGGTGTGGAAGTAATCCGGTGTATCTATCATACTGGCCAGGGCCTCTTTGGTAATTATATCATCACCTTCATGGGCCCAAAAGGCCTCCATCGACATGAAAGCGTGGATAAGACTCGTACAAGCCTGGGTCCTCACTCGGCCGAGGGGTCCGAGCATATTAGGCATGGCCCAGTCCATTGTCGGATACAGACACGAGTCGCCGATTCAACTCCATAAACCATCAAAGGGTTTTCGGCCGTTGTTCCTACAGCCTTTGCGACCACGCGGGGTCGCAGGCAGTGGAATGCTTGGATCATGTAATTGGTTAACGGGGGCCGAGTATAAGGTAGCAAGCTTCCACTCCCCGAAGGTATTACTCGGCAACAGGTGCAGAATGTCATATGAGTAATCATCTTAAAAAACCACCGGTACCTTATATAGCGAACTTTTTCCCAGGGAATTATATTTCACATTTCACTTCGACACCGTTGGTCCAGTCGGTTCAGTCTTTTAAGGCTCAAGTGGAATCTGACGGGCTTCCACCAAAAAAAGATAAAAAAAGAAAACGAACGCCTAGCAGCGTAGCCATGGCATCGCGACCATGCAAAAAGAAAATCGGCGTCCGTATATTCTCTGTACAATTCGATTAATGGGGATTTAACCATGTTTCTCATTATGATCGGGTGTAGTCTGTAGTCCGTAATTCGTTTGTAAGGTAAGTACCTGGAGACGGTGACCACGGTCGTTTTCCGGGTGGCTCCACCAATCAGGACATGGTGGACGTCCAGATTCGGCAACATATAAGCACTAACAGGCGACATTCGGGTAAAGCCTTGAATCCCAGGCAAGTTATAAGCACCACTGTACATGCGTAGTATATCCGCATAAGAACTATATTGCACGCGCAATTCATGTGACGTCTGGAGAGCTACAGCATGTACTTCGTGTCCGTAGCTCACTCAACTTTGTGACTGGAGTCGCGGGGCAGTTCGTGGTTCCTAGTAGGTATCAATCTTGTGGAAAGCGTTCAATCTTGCCAGATTAGTAAAGTACATAGCTCGCGGCGACGCAAGTTGTGTATCATACTGCCCTGAATACCGAGATCTAGTACTCCAGCAGCCGGAGGGGTTCCCGACTCCTCTATGGATTGGGACTCATCAATAGTGCCATCCTCTTCGAGCACTTGGAAGCTACAGGACCAAGAAGCAGTACGTATATCTGACCGTCAAATGGGATTGTTCCAATCTGGCGGAAAGGAGGGTATCGCCAAACGCTCAGTTATAAGGACGATAGGAAGGCGGAGTATGGGAGTTTTAGATGTTAGTCTGAGGGTGGTTTACTTGTTTGGTTCCCGTAATCTTCCAGAGGATCGAGGTCATCCGTTCCCAGACTATCAGTCTTGAGATAATTCAGCATCGTATTCCTAATCCCTGCTTACATACAGGCTGAATGATGTGCCAGGTTTGTGACCGTTATGTCTCAACACGGCAATTGTCCTTGAAGAGAGCGAATCCGTCTCTGAATGCCTCTCATATCATATTCCTGCATGTGAACGTCCCATCGACCCGGGAACCAAATCGTGGGCAACCTCGGGCCTTGCCAGCTTCAAGTTGTTTCCCTCCCCATACAGCACCCATTAGACTTAAATACACTGAGAGTACCAGGGGTTCTGGACCTGGCAAGTGCCCTGCGAGCAGCAAGTCGGCCCGCTGTAGCCCTGACCTCCACATTGTCCCCACATGGAGGAGCAAGAGCCGGAGGGAGGAGGAGGAGGTGTGGTAGGAGGAGGTGTGGTGGGAGGGGGTGTGGTGGGTGGAGGGGTACCGCCCGAGTCGCAGGTGGCGAGGCCGAGGACGCAGTTCCTCTCCGCAGCAGTACTGTATTAGGAGAAGCAGAATAATCAGCACATCATCGACTTTGTGGAAGGGGCGCGTAGAACTGGAAACTTTTGGAGGGAGGTATTCTCCATTTAAAGGGGACGGGCATTTGACCACTTACATGCCAACGACATAGCCGTGACGGCTGCTAGGAGGAAGAGTCATGGATGACTGAGTCCAGCTCGCGGCACCAATGTTGGTAGTCTCGAAGGGCTGGTAGCCGCGACCGCGGGTATAGTCATCAATGAGCAAATGCCACCTGTTGGGGTTCTGGTTGTTGCGGAAGACGAGCGGGCCCTCGCCAGCCGGAAGAGGCTCGCCAATGCGGTTGCGGATGACGGTCCAGGGCCCGTTGAGGGCGGAGGCGCGGGCCTGCTCAATGAGCTCGCCCGGGCCGTTCTTGCTGATGCGGTAGAAGGTGTTGGTGGATGGGTCGTGTGCGACGGTGGCATCCATGCCGGCACCGGTAAGCCACCTCTCGGCCGGGGTGAAAGTGACGAAGTCGGAGGTAAAAGAGCGCATGATGAACCAACCTTCGCCCTTGAGGTGGCAGGTCCAGTGGACGAGGTCTGCGGGGAGAACACAAAACAGTGAGTAAGGAGTTTAGAATTATTGAGCGTAGACGTTGCTCGTTTCGGTTAGAGAGAGAGAGGGGGAGAGGGGGGGGGAGAGCGAGTAACTTACACCGCCGAGACGCCGGGTCCCAGATAGCATCAGGAGCCCAGGTCATGCCCGCATTGCTAGGGCTGACATTGCGCAGGAACGGGCCGCTCCAGGTTCGCATATCGGATGTCTCCCAGACGACAATGGCCTTGGACCCATTGGACGTGTAGTCATCGCCGACGTTCCACCCGCGGGGGTGCACCCAGAGATCGGTCGCGATGATCCAGGTCTTGCCGCTGCCGTCCTGGCTACGGATAACGCTGGGGTCACGCACACCACGAGTGCCCACGGTGGAGGTCAGAACGGGGCGACCGCCATTGACCTGGGTCCAGGAGCCAGGGTTGTTGTTATTTGAGACGGACATGTAGATCTGCTCGCCATTGGATAGGTGCTCGCCGACAAACTGTGGGGGTCATGTGTTAGCTACTTGTTCCAAGTCGAAAGATGTTTTTCTTTCGATATTTTATGCAGATGTGAGAGATGGTGCACGAAAGAGGACTGAAACTGGGCAAAAAAAGAAAAAGAGAAAAAATTGTTGCGTACGTAGACGAAGAGGTAATCCGTATAGGTGGTTGTCTGACGCTCCTCCAAGAGCGGCACGGCGGACGCAACCGTCGCCAGGACGCCCACGAGCAAAGACGAGAACCTCATAGTGTCAAGGACCAAGGACACTGAAGTGTATGATCACTAATTGTCTGCAGCAAAGAAATGCGTGGCTCGAGCTGACAGAAGGCAAAGAAGATCATGCCCGGAACGAGTAGAGATCCCCGCCATATTTATATACGTCCTTAAGCTTGACTACCAACTCGCGGTAGGGGACATGTGGCATGGTTCATGCTAAGAACTGCCGAGAGCGTCTAAATGAACTCCGTCGCCTTCTCTTCGTCGGCGATCTGCTTGCCGTCCCGAGGAGTACGAAAGCACACTCGCTACTGGCGCTGCTATAAATCTCGGCGACTGTGGTTCCGGGCTCTCATCTCAGAAGTATGTAGGCCAGTAGTACCCACCTAAATACATGCCGAAACACCGGGTTGTAGACGCCAGTCAACTCGAGGATGGTGTCCGCATAAAGACTCTCTTTTACAGCTGGGATTGAACAAAAAAGGGGCGAACAGTCCATGTGGCGTC